TTCCCACGCGTGGTCGCCGGGGCTGGTGTGTGCCCCTGACCCCAAAGATCAGGAGCCCTTTCAGTGCCAAAGCCCTTATTTTTACTGCTCTTGGTTGGAGATTTATGAATTGAGTCATGTTGTATTCATTTCACGCTCTTAAAATAAAGACTCTGCATATAGCAGGCTGATCTGATTTGTGACACTGAACGCTCCCCTTCAATACTGACATTTTGACAATATAAGAAGGGAAAAAAAAACATATCTCTGATCTGATCTTGCAAACAAAGCAATCGTGGGAGGCAGGATCAAGTCATTCCAGAAGATTCTGCATTTGTCATATTGCAGAGAGGCTAGACTGGGTGGAGGGAGGGAGGGGGTGCTTTAAAGGGGAAAACTGTTCTTTATGTTTGTCTTCTTAGTCAGGTCTGAACCTTTGCTGGGAGCTGGGGTGTCCTCCCCGGCTGATGAAAAGTGAATGCTGATCTGGGAATGTCGCAGTCTGCCGTGGGTGCAGCTCTGTTTGCCCATATTGCACCATTTTGTCAATAACCTTGCATTTATCAAACAGACAAAACTGTCACAGCCTGAGCCCAGGGAGGGAGGGAGGAGATGTCTTATCAAGAAATGAAATACGGATAATCGGGACGAGATATTACCACATTAAACCAGCCGGGCTGTCCCTCTGCTGCACTGTGGCTTTTATACCATTTTCTGATAGCGGCATCTATTCATTTTAAAGCCAAGCTTGCTGTGTGAGCAGATCCTACAGCTCATTTCCTACGGATAATACAGCCGCCGTGACAAAGCCAGCAGGGATCTGCCTGGGACACGCAGCCGTGTTGCGGTGTGAATTTCCCTAACCTGCTTTCCGGGGCTGGCTGTTCGAACCCAAGGCGTTGCTAGCGATCATATATACGATTTTTTCCTGCTAGTCCTTACAGGCCCTGGTGAAACAGTAACCCGGGCTAACGCCTCTTATCAGCTGCCATGCAGTTTGGCCGTAAGGAAGCGATTCCCAGCGGGAGCGCTGACGCCTCCCGTCAACTGGCAAACAAAAGGCAGAGCTTTTGTTCTTCACTCCTGCCCCGCGCTGCCCGAGCCCCGGCACGGCCGGTCCGGTGGCGGTGGTGGGCATATCCCAGCCGGTTATCCCTGTGCCTCCCAGCCCCCAGCCCCGGCTGTGCGGGAGGCTGATGACCTCGCACTCATTTCCGTAGCAACGCCTAGTGATGTCATATGCCATGGTCCAAGCTGCAATGCACCCAGGCGGTAGCAGAGAGCATGCGGGCTGCGTCTAGCGAAGGTGATGCAGAGCCATCCTGCCCTCCAAACCGAGCCCTCCGCCTGCTCACCTGGCACCCCTGCTGAGAAATGACGGGTGGCTCTCCTTTAAAACCTGCCGTGGGAATGGTGGGCATAAAAACGGGCTCGTTTTCCTGCAGCTTGATCTCACGGGTGGTGATGTGGGGCAACTGAATGGGTTGTTGAGCTTCAGCCCTGCCTGCTTTGGAGCCTGTGCTGAACGCCTGTTTTAATGGTTTGACATGGAAATGGTGTGCTGGGGCTCTTGCTGTCTGCTGATTCATCCAGTGATGTCCTGGATGACAATATTTTCTCTCAAATAATATTTATATATAATAGGTTCTAGCTCCTTCCTTCTTGCAAGTGTCAGCTGCCAGTGCTCCTAATTGCGACCTGCAGTCATATTGCTGCTGTGGGAGCAGGATGCTTCTTCAGCTCCCAAAAGGGACAGGTTTACTGTGGAGTCTCAGTAAAACACATCAGATGGTCACCTTGCCTACCAGAGGTGATGCCATAGCCGGGAAGGGTGTGGGGCCAGGCCCATTGATCCAGGGTATGGCTGCATGACCTTGGTCATGTCCCTTGTCACCTCGGTGCTGTCTGGGGGTATTGTCATCGCTGTAAGGTGTTGGGGGGCAGGAAGGCTCCCTGCTGGTCTCCAGGGTGGCAATTGTGCCTGGTGGTCAGGCCTTGGCCTTGCTCGCCGGGGTTTCACTGCCCACAGTGGCAGTGGGTAAAGCAAGATGCATTTCTGTCTGGTTCAGCTTCAGGAAGAGCTTTACCGCCTGACCCCATGCCAGGGCTGGGGATCGATATCCATTAGCCGGGGAGACTGGTGCTGCTGGAGGCTTTCCGGAGGTGGAGCCCTGCCAAGCCCCTGGCTGGTGCTGCCCAGGGAGCAGAGCAGAGCACGTGCCTGCCCGTAGACCTTCAGGGTGGGGGGGATGTGCAAGGGAATGAACGTGATTGCAGTAACTTTTGCAGGAAACAAGTCGCCTTTAAAAAGGGTGAGGGAAGCATTATTGCATTGCACCTATGGATGATCTAGGTGTGGGACCATATGGCAGAATCCTGGGGTCCCCTGTGAGGGGAACACCTCACTTGACTTTAGGGACCCAACCTCTGCAGAGGGTGATGCTGTGCCCTAGGTGAGGACCATCATCTGTGGTGGATGTGGAGGGGGGAGATCTGGAGGTGCCAGAAAGCAGTTGGCTGCTCCAAGCTTTAGACACCACAACTTGATGCAGTAAATGGCAGTTGTGGGCGGGGGATGGGGAATTGCAGGCCTTCCCTGGCATGGGCTTCTGCCATGTTGGTCACCAGCCAGGCAGGCTATCACCCCCCACACTCAGTGACACTAGCACAGATAGTGGGGCTTCACACAGACAGCAGGCTTGCCCTTGGAAAACGGGGTAGTAACAGAAACCCATCCTATCTGGAGAGTCCCGGGCCAGCGGAGCAGGGATGATTAGCTGCTTCTGCTTCGCAGCATAGACAGACAAAAGGGTGAGGTGGAACGGCTTCTCCAGGAGGAGTGCTGGGCAGACCATCTGTGATGGTGGGAGGGGAGCAAGGAGCATGAGCTGCTGTAGTAGCACTTCCCAGGGGGGCTGGAGAAGGCTTTGGAGAAACCATTTCCAGTGCCGAGGTGGATATTGCAGTCATTTGATGTTGGCATCAAGTGACTGCATCGATGTTCTTGCCGCCGCCCCTCGTGCAGGCATCTTGAATGCTGCTCTGCCTCCTGGGTCAGTGGTGGATTGCAGTGGTGGTAGGGATTTGAGACAGTGCAACTGATGAGCAGGGCTTCCTTCCTGGAGGTCTGCAGGATCAGGACAGGAGGGTGGCTGTCAGGAGCTCCCATCCTTCCAACCCTGTAATGGTTCATGGTACATTGGAGAGGCAGCAACACGCCCTGTATGTGACTGCAGTAGGCAGTGCACACATCAGCTGTGTTAACTGGCCACTCTTCAGCAGCTTAAGCTCTTAGAAATTCCTCTTTGAGCTCCTGTTAAATTCTTATCTATGACTTTAGGAGGAGTCACTGATTTATGAGACCATGCTCAGGGTTTCTGTCTGTTGGCCAAGTGTAACAACCAGGTGCGGATTTGATTAGAAGTATCTCTTCTTGAACTAAACAGAGATGAAGAATATAGCTGTTGAA